CCAGGCCATCCTAGGACCCATTCTAGAGTTCGTTCTACAGTACATAATAACATCAAATCCATGCGTGTACCAATAAGAATGCAACGATCAAATTCGACGTGTGGGCCATGCGCCCCACAGTCCACAAACGTGGTGTCCCTACCCACCTGCTATGCAGTTTGTGCTTGTTACAATGGGTGGCAAGACCAAGCAGACACAACGGCAGTGGCTTGTAAAGGCTGGGGAGTCCTGCCCTCCGGCCCGGCATCACCAAGGCAGCGCCCCACAGCGTGAGGCAGGGGATACCCGGGGCCAAACAGAGGGGCACCCGGAAAGGCAGAACCCCAGTGATCCCTCATGAGGGATCTGGGGATGCAGAGATGGCGGTGGCAACGGCAGGGGGGGAAGGCTAGGGGACGTCCATTGGTGGTAGCGCCCCACTCCCGGACTTATTCGATTATGCACATATAGTGACGGGGGACTTGGGGGACTCGGATAATCCAAGTCGGATCTGGAACCCACCGCAGAGGGGGCTCCAAACCTACAACAACCACAAGTTGTCAGGGCATGTGAAAGGCTATCGCCGGCCGGAGATCTTGAGGGTGCGTCAGCGAGCGGCAGGGTGGGGAGTGCGTCTATGCTGGTGGCGACACCTGGGCCCCCGTTGACAGCATCAGGGGCCACCTCTAGAAGTGGTGGTGGGGTGAAGCGCATGGCCGGTGGCCAGGGCGGGTCCTGAATTTCGCCTGCCCATTCCTGGGGCTAGGCCTTGGGGCACCCTTGGTAGGTGCCAAGCCGGTACCTACTCTGACTGGCTGAAGAGCAAGTTAACTCAATCCAAAAACTAGGGCGGCTTGATTTCGCGACTGCTTTTTTTATTGGGCCGTGCGGCGTCGGTCGCTGCCCTGCGACCCTACACTGAGAGCGCCAAAGTTGACCAGATGACCATGTGGCCTTTCGCGGGCCACTTCCAAATTCTCCCTCAACGGCCACCACCCCAGCCCAATCGTCCCCGTTGATGTGCGAATCGCAGGGATTGCGGTTTGGTCTAGACTAGGCAGTGCTGTCCAACGCCCGCCGCTGCATTCCTGTGCCACCATCTTCCCTTGCCACTATTTGTGCCTTCGCTTGTTTCTGTCTACGTTTTGGGGTGGATACTACCACCAAGTCATGGATACTAACGTGGTTTTGACCCCCAAAGAATGGGGTGGATACTAATAAGGGGTGCCTACTAATACCGGGTAAATATGGTAATTCAAGTTCTGTGATAGTTGCAGTATTGGGTGATACCTATGGTGATTTTCTAAGTACCCCGCCGAAACCACGTACTCTGACATTAAGGATACCTCATTGACTTGATTATCACAATCAAGATATAGACCTCCACAGTAGAGGTCTATAAGCACTGGAGTGGTTGATACTTGGTTGTGTAGATTATGAGATATACCCAGCCCACTGGTGGTAGTTGGAGAGGAAGGGTGTTGACATAAAAGGCTCCCATCTTTGACTCGACCTCGGAACTGGGTACTTTGTCATTTAATGATTCATTAATAGCTTGAATGTGGTGGTTTATGGACGTGGGGATGCTTGATGGTTGATTGTGCCGATTGTAAGGTATACCTTGCCCATGAGAAGCTGGAATGATGGTCTAGATGACATGTGATGTCTTTGTACGAACGAGTTGCAAATGCAACTACTGCCGAGTGTCTTTGTGAGGACGAACCGGAAGCCCTGGTGATAGAAAATGATCTTTTATGAGAGTATGTCGAGGGTCTAATGATGCGACACCCCACACGGCTGTTGGCGGATGTCTGGAGGACGGGCTGGACTATTGGGGATGCGACGGATGAGTAGAAGACCCTCCAACCCTTGGAGATGAAGTTGGTGACTTTGGAAATGTGCCACACCGCTGGAAACACCCCGAGGCGATGAGTGGACCCACCAGGCTTTCCATGGGAGCGTCGGAGGTGGATTTGTGCATACTTAGGAGGAAGAAGTTTTGTGGGTGCCGCACCCGTACGAGTTCTAGTACTTTAAGGTGGTCGACTACTGCGGGTGCCGCACCATGTGCTGTGGCACAACGTGGGGATTCAGCGGATGGTGCCGTGGCTAGAGTGATGGGTGTGGTAGCATTCTGAGCGGTGTGACTCTAAGGGATGAAGGCAGTACAAACGGCTAGGTTGGGTAACTCGGGCCAGTACTTTAGTGGGCGATATCTGTGCTTTGGGGCTTGGGTAACGCACCCAGTGGTTTAGACGGGTTCGAACCCTGGGTATGGCGGGCTAGTACGTAGACCGGGACATTCAATATGTTAATGCATGGGTGGCACACCCAAGGGCGAGGTACAGAGGTACCATGTATGGATTTGATGCGACCTTTCATAGGTGCACGGTACCAGTACCGCACCAAGCGGTGTGGGTTATTTATGGATGAGCAACCTTGCTTTAACAAACACGCGAACCTTGGGCCCACCTCGCTGTCCCTTGTGTGTCTTTCGGGGATTGTACCCTACTGAACGGTGAACATGCTGCGCTGACAGACGCCCATTGCGGGTGTGTGGGGAGTGGGGTTGTATGTATGATAGGGGAGCCAGTTAAGGGGAATTGGCTGTAGTGAATGAACGGGGACGGCTTTGGGATTGGATCATAGTTGGGGATGGCGGCGGGAATAGGAGCTGAGGAAGTGTGGGAGTGAGGGAGAGTGGAGTGGGTAGTGTACGCGGGTAGCTGCTGGGCTAGTTGGCAATGGATCATAGTTGGTATGGGCGGCGGGAATAGAAACTTGGCATGAGAAAGGGACACGAACCCGGCCAGCTCGTGAAAGTGGCCAGAGTGAGGATTCTGGATACAGCAACTCTTGAACCGTCACATCATCAAGCTATAAATAACACTCACTCCATCTGTAAGGACGGGTTCGGTTCGTGTGCGACAGAGTTGTCCTTCCTCGCGTGTCCGATTGTGAATGCCTCCCGTACCCCCTGGGTCGCCGCAGCCCAAAGGCTCAGTGCCAATTTGAGCCGCCCGTTCGCGACAGGTGCACTATTTTCGTGCGTGACCGGTTCATTGCCGGAAGATTCGCCATTTGGACGCCATTTCTGCGGTGGTTCGAAGCTCGACGCCACAGTACTTGTTCTTGCTCTGCGTACGCTCAAAGTTTCAAGTTGCCACGAGCGAAGCTGGCACACAATCGCTGGATGTTCTCCATGCGCTACCCAGGAGCGGCAATGCCGCCCGGTGTCGCCTTGCTCGGGGTGGCTCGCTGGAAAGCGTCATGACGACAGCGCGCGTTGGGAGATCTGCCGCCCCGTTGGTCGGCCGCTCCCATGGTTGGCCGGGCTTCTGCGATGCACCGCTTCTTGGTTTGTGGGGCCGCAGGGATGGATTTGGGGTCTCTGCGCGGCTTGCTCCAGGGGCTGGCTGGGCGATCCCGAACGGTGGCGGCAGAACGGGCTGTTCGCAAGTGAACAGCCCGGGCACGCGCGTTTGCGCAAGACACTCGTTCTCCCTGTGGCTGGCAGAGCGCTGTGCAATTGTCGGCGTCGGACGGAAAAGGGGAAGGCGGATAGTGGCTGGTGAGCGTTTGCTTGTGTCAGCCAGGCGTCAATGTAGTCAACTGAGTTCCTATCCACCTGCTTTTGCACGAGGCGACAGACGGCATTGCCGTAAAGTTCATTCCCTTGTTGAAATTTGTCTGAAATGGACAAAGTTAAGCCCTTCCGCCCCATGCGATGCGAGGCATTCATGTTCCCAAAACGTGTTCTCTCGCTCGTATGTGCGTTTTTGTCCACTCGCCACCAGCCTGCAATACGTGTAGAGAGTGGTCAAATAGCAGCAAGCACCCCGAGGCATTCTTGGGGATCATGGCTTTGGTCAATTTCTGCTGCACACTGCATTGCAGAATAAGCTCTGTTCCGTGGAAGATGCCCTGGCAATGGTACTCGGACGTGCAGGTGCCCTGTGTCACATTTCCATGCAAACGGGCATCAGTGCAGCAACAGTGCTTCACCAGTGTTGTGCTTTTTACATGAGTCGATTGCAGGAAAGGCAAAGATTTCCAGGGCAAGTCTTGTGAATCTGTTCTAAAATGAACATGGGCTGGCTGTGCACCACCAACACCAAAATATTGATGCAGCTTGTGTGCCAAGGTCAACACTTAAGCGCAGATGAGATGACTCAGTCTGCAGTTTCAACACTCCTAGCCCCTGAACATAGAACTTGCTCTAGAACCTAAACCTAAATTCTCGCTGTGTGCGCCTTTACCCTTGCTGCAGCATGTCTCACCACACCCCACCATGTGGCACCCAGCAACACCAGCAGCACGACGTGGAGAGGACTCGCTGCGCAGTGCACACCCCACAGCCGATCGACAGGCGCCCGAGTGTGTTGCGGTGCATTGGGGGCAGTGTGCAAACAGCACGCTGGCGTTTGTCAAGCGAACCAGCACGGTCATGGGGCACCCAGTAGAAGTTGCATGGTGGCATTGGTCACTGTGAGTCGTCATGTTTTGTCCATGGGCCTCAAGACTCGCATTGGACCACGCAATACCACTGTGAAGTGCAAAATATTGGCAGGATTGTGTTTTCTTGAGAAGATGAACGTCAGGGATGGCTGTCAAGGCTGATGGAACACATGTGCCCCCACAGGAAATAGCCAGCCCAATGCAAGGGTCGCATCTCCTGGTGTTTTGCGCAGGTTGCCTAATGTTGGAGTCAGCACACATAAAACACGTCCAACAATGATCAGTGCAGGTCCTTGGCCTGGCCATTGCTTCATGCAAACCCCAGGCCCCAAGTCATCAGCGTGTGGGTTATGATTTCACGGATAGTTGTCGGGCAATTGCAATGTGGCGGTTTGGCTGAACAAGTGGCTTTCAGAGTCCAGTGATGCTATGTTTTCCCTTTGGAGACTTAACAAATCCAAGGTGCAGTCGAATCGCACGTGGCAGATTGTTGAGGATCCGATGTGCTGTGTGCGGGTAGATGCAGGCGTACTTCCGATGGCAGCACTTCCCTAAGATGGCGCATGACAGCGAAGCCGTCAGAAACGGATGCATGCGCCAGTGTGACAGCTGTCTTCCTGAAGGTCAGCTTTTAGTAATTTGGTATTTCATTATTGTCGCTACTACTTGTGTTTCTTTCCATTTTCATGTTTTGATTGCATTCGCTAAAATAGAACAACTCAATGGCTTCACGGATTGTGGACGACAGTGTCGTCACGACACAGCTGTCGCCTCCTGGCAGTGCTCAAAGTTGGCTGTGCATCCTGCAGATATGGGCCCAGTTTAGCAGCCTCCTGAGTAGTCACCAGACAGATGTGGTGAATCCTGGGGATCGTTGGTCACAGTTTTGCAGTTTTTGTATTGCAGTGTAGGTCCTCAGTACATTGTAGCGCATGCCTTGTGCGAGTACTGCTGTGCATCCTGCATGAGATGCAAATTCAGCATTTTGTACTACAAGAATGGAGCAATTTCTAGCGCCAAAATTGGTGAATCTTGTCCTCAGAAATTAAGCAATAATGTTCTCAGAATGCAACAGATTGCAGTGTCAGTGTAAGAATACAGATGGCTGCTCCTCCAGAAAGCAGAGAGGTATGCAAGAATTCGGCCTTGTGTGTACTGTGAATACTGTATTGCCAAGTATTGAAGCACAGTACCAAGGTACCATTCTGTGGCACTTCAGCACTGTCTTGGAGCAAAGAAAGTAGGCACAGCTGTTTGTGCACCCTGAACCCAGACTCCTGTGCCACCCCTTTTGCCTGCTGTTTTCAGGTGACAGCGCGCACTGCCGTCTTGTATTTTGTAACTGCTATTGCTGACTACTTATTGTATGTTCCATCGTTTGTTTTGTAAGGACACCCCGTTGTTATGGTTTCATCCTGGGCATCGTGGCATAGTTGCGGTTGCATTGCTAAGGCAAGCAGATGAATATATTACAGTTGCCACATTGACAAGTCCTTGGTGGTGCATTAGCGACTGATTTTGGCTGCTGTCGTTATGTTACAGTTGCAGTTCCATTGTAACAGTTCCCATTGCTGTTGTCATTGTCATTGGTTACTGGGCTCAAATCCATGTTCATGTTGCTCAACTGCCTGATTGAGAGTGGGCTTGTGACAGTGTCGACTTTGTGTTGCAGGTGCTTGCTGGCCTGCACGATGCTGAAACAGTCAGATTTGGTCACATACATAACATCTTTAAGGTGAGGCCAGGATGCTGGGAAGCACCCATCTTCCGCCACTGTCACAAACGCAGCTTGATGCGCCCTCAACACAAGGCTCGCCGCCGATGGCATGTTACCATAACAGGGCGGACTCAAGCGCTGCATGGGGCCTTAGGCCAGGCTGCACATTGTCTGCTAGACAGTACATACAGTACAGGCAGTAGAGGCAGTACAGGGAGTGCAGGTAGCAACACTTTTCGGACTGGGCAGCCATGGACAACACTCCTCTGTGCAGTGGCTCTTAGCATGGTTGATACAATTGCCCATTCTTGAACCCTGATGCACAGCTGGGACGCATCCTGGCATAAGGCGCTTTCTCTTGACGTTGCATGCTATATTGACTCGCTGCATTGATCATCGAGATACCTCTATATCATTGCCACCATAGTTGATGATGTTCTCCTTTCCTAATTCCTACTGTTGCATAACATTTGATGGTGGATGAATCTGAATGTAAGGCTGCTACCGTCCCTTTATCTTTATGGCATCCATTGCTTGCTTTGTCTACACCCCTGTACTTCCTTTTTAGACTCCGGAGTATTGAAATCTGTTGCGCTTGTGCACCTGTGGGCAGAACTGTCAAATTGCTTCCAGATTCTGTCAAAGAACACCTGACACACAAAGGTGGTTGACTTGTCTTTAGCCTCACACAGAATGTCTGACGAGCTGCAAAGACATTGCCTATCCGACAACGCCGGGCAGTCAGTACTCTGCAAACCTGGACTGCAATCGTTATGGAACCGACGACCAGTACATGTTCACTGGTGGGCGGAATGCCATGCGTTGCTGCTAGTCTTTGATGTTTATATGTGCTAAGTGATGTGTCAATGCCTGTTACAAACACCAATGTAGCATTTTGGAATAAGAGAAAAAAAAGGGGATGCACTGAATTGCCGATTTGCACCACGATTTTGCTTCACACGATTGTGTGGAGTTCAGGCAGCAGTTTGTGGTGAGAGTGTTATTTTGATCAAGAGGCCACCAATGGCAACAATAGTTACATTTAGACTGAGATATTTTTTGCTGTCCATGCTGCTCCTTGTTGCGATTCGCAACTAGGAGCAGCATGGACAGCAAAACATCTCAGTCTAAATGTACCTATTGTTGCTGGGAAGTGCTGCGCCATCTTGCACATCTTGGAATGGTGTCTGGCAACGAAAAGGTCTTTGGTCAGTCACAGTTGACTGATGTCGATGCCAGCTTCTTGTTTCTTGATCGAAGAACGTGAAGGAGAAAACCTCACCTCTTGGTATTGATGGCAGCAAGCTGGAGAGTGAGGTTGAAGGGCTCCGTACAGAGGTGGTGAAGCTGCAGGCAGATAAGGCGGCTTCTGACGAGAGGGCAAAGAACGAGCTGACAAAGAATAGAGAGGTCGCTACTGAAGCGTCTAAGTGGATTTCTAACCAATCCTGCTGGACAGGTGAGGCTGGAATGTCTGTAAGGGCAAGCTTCCACTGTTGCCTGTCCACCCACATGCTGAATGGCAGCTCCACACTGGAATATCAGACAATGGAATCCTTTCATTCCATGTGCATTCTCCTGCAAACAGACTGCTTGCACACAAGCAACCTTCAGCGCTTCAAATCGCTTGGCACTTTCTCTTTCGGAATGAAACAACAACAGCAATGGATCCCTCGATCCAGCTCAGCAGTCAGAACACTTTGTGTGCATCGCCCAGTGGGTCAATGCTACCTGTTCCACTTTCTTCTGCACAAGCTGTGCTGCATTTTCTCCCACCTCTGTGCGCTGCAGGGCGTGGCACATCGCAACGTGCTGAAGCAACTCTTCGCCCAGGTCAGCACGCCAGAGGGTATGAGCGCGTCGACCGTCCAGGTCGGCAACGCGCCACAGCAGGCGTCAGTGTCGCAGATGCCGATGCTGCAGACAGTGGCGCCGGCGGACAGCTCTCTGCCGCAGACCATGGGCGACGCGCTGAAGCTGAGGGCTAGCCTGGAAACGTTCATCGCACTGGGCGGCTCATGGAGGGGACCGGGCGCCCCAGCTACCCCAAGGGGCGCCAGGGTAAAAGTGGAGTACCCGAAGGGTGTGCCTCAGGGACTGCTGCTGGAGAAGGTGGCGCTGGAAAAGCTGGCAGCCCAGGTGGGAGGGCAGGTGCTTCCGCAGGGCATGCAATAGGATTGGAGCACACCCGGGGGGTGTTGCGGGCATTCTGTGATCTGTGCATTGGGATCGACCGGGGGTCTTGCGCCCTTGTGGGGACGGCTGGCAGGAGGGGGCCAGTGCCGTTGGCGTTTGGGCTGGCATTGCTTGGGCGTGTACCTGTGTGGGATGTGGCTTGCAGTTTCAGGAGGGGTTGGGCTTTGAAGGGTGCCCGGCAGCTGCAAGATCCAATCGTGAGAATTCACGAGCCGGTGGGGACCGGAGGGTGTGGTGGTGGTTGTTTGATGCATTCAATTGCTGGGCAGGCTTGTAGCACTGGTGCAAGCAAGTTGTTGACCTTGAGGATAACGAAGTACTGGGCAGGTGTGCCACTGGCTGAGTTGCCAAGGACAGGACCAAAACTGTTGGCTGGTGGGGCGTTGGATGTGTAGGGGATGGTTTGGACAGGACAGATTGACAGAAAGCAACACTTGGCTATTGAGTCCATGGCAGCTGACTTTAGGCTTGTGAAATGACTGGCTGACAATGATGTTGAGAGCGTTTATTATCCTTTGGTTCACAGCGGTACTGCCTATAATAGGCCATTCTGGGATGGCGCGTAGTGCGGACGGGCTACTTGCCTGAATATTAACACTTTTCTTTGTGGTTCTACATGTGTAAAGCACTGATTATTGAACATGTCTAGATAGGGTAAACAATCAAAGAGCATTGGGCACTTCAATAATAATATTTTTTCGTTCTGGCAGGGGGCCTTTGGTATTGTTGATGGATGCCCCTCGATGCGCTGTAACCCTTGGGATGCGAGACTGATCAGCCGTAACATCCTTGTATTCCAACTGCATGTGCGTCAAGTGCACAGCCGTAACACATCGGCGATGACGCGTGCTGCTGACGGGGCATGTCGTATCTGGCACCCGAGCTTGCATCCCCAAGAGCCGCTGCGCCCCCCGGTCCGCCTTTGCCTCTCCCGACGGACGACGCACAGACCCCCGCGCACGCAGCGCACTGCAGCCCCTTTGCTCCCCGTGCTCTGACCCCCGAGCACCCCGGTGGCGGCGATCCAGGATGGCCTGGCGCCGTCGCGTGCAGACGAGCTTTGATTCCGCGATGGAATCTGCCGCCAAGGATCGCCCTGACGACCCGCCCATTGGGGCCCCATGCCCCAGGCCGCGACAGGCGGCCCCTCCGTCCAGCCGGCCCTCCCGCAAGAGATCCCTGCCGAAGGCGCAGCGGGAGGTGCTCGGTCGTGGGGCCCGCGGGGATGGGCCCAAAAAGGCCGGTCCGCAGGGGCCAACTTCTGGCCACAAGGGGCCAGGCGGGACGTCCCACCCCAAGGGCAGGTCGAAGCCGCATGGCGGCAAGGTGCGATTGCGCGCGGCACACTTACCTTTGTCTCCGGCTGCGCCGCTCCGCGCGCTGCGCCTCCTTGGAGGCCGTGGGCGGCCCGTGATTGGGGACGAGTCTTTGCAGGAGAATGCGGCCATTCTGGCCAACACGCCTTCCCTCCCCAGCGAGACCCCCAACGCCCGCCCACCTCCGAAGTCGGGCCAGTGCCAAGCGAGCCAGGTGGGCCAGGCCGGCCAGGCGGATGGGCCCCACAGGCGCGGAGATCCGGGGCCGCCCGCTGGCCTGATGGCCGTCCTGGAGAAAGAGGAAAAAGCAGAGAAGGTGAGATCTCGACCACGCCGCCCCAAACTTCGAGCCGGGCTGCCCTCCATGCTTTGCCCTTCGAGGCGGGCCGCCCGCCGCGCCCCTCCCCTAGAAGCGGTCTGTCCGCCACGCCACTGATCGCATACTTGCCATTTTGCGCGATGGGATGGATCCCGCCATTTTCCGCACTTGTGGATCTCTCTACCTCTGCGGAGGGGTCGCTCCGCGCTCCCCGCCTCTTTGGAACTAGAGTGACAGGGCTGCCGCGCTGTCCAGGAGAAGAAGCGGCTTGAGGACGCCAAGGACTGGGAGGCCATGCAGGCGGAGATGCGGCAGAATTTGAACGCCAAGATCGCCGCCCTCCAGAAGAGGTGCGGCAAGCTGCCGTGCAAGGGCTCCGCTCCCGCCGAGATGGACAAGGGGAAGGAGCCCCTGGATCCCAGCGCCGGCGCCCGACCTGACACGCAGCCGCAGAAGAAATCAGAGGCGCCAGGAGGGGCTGGTGGCACCAAGAAGGCGGCCCCAATTGGGCTTGCAAGCCACGACGTCCCGGATGAGTGGCTGGACGATCCCGGCTACACCATTGCCACCGGGCCCATCCTTCAGTTCAAGTGGGCGAAGAAGATGAAGCACAAGGCGAAGCGTCTCGTGCACAAGGGTGCAGTCCCGCAGGTGAGTTGAAAAGCGATCTACAAAAAGCGACACACCCGGCCACACCGGGACTGACTAGCTGCGCCATCAATTATGTGCTTATAATATGTGTTTTAAACAAATGACTATCCTACACACTTAAGATTAAGCAGCAATTCAGGTTGGCTGGGTGCTGAAACGAAGAGTGGACACAGTGCATCTTCAATGCCAGCCTAGTAGCATCCACACACAGCTTCACAAGTTCAGACACAATTTTGCTTGACAACAGTAGCACAACATGACCCAAGTTTTTTCTTCTCTCATAACTACTGACATGCCCATTCTTATCCCATTATTGCCATCAATCACATGTGCCAATAACACAACTACATCATATGCCAACACAGCTCATAGCGCCATTCATAGGACGTGCCACAAATGTCTTTCCATTCAAAATCTAACTCAGAGTATGGTGCACAAGAACATGGAATCACCGGCATAAACAAGAACATACCTAGGCAAATATCTCAAAGAGGATTCCCATCTTTGAGCTCCTAGGCATTGCACTATTGGCTATACAGATCATTCATGTGGCTAACTTCAAGACCAAAAAAATACTTCCTCCGTCCGGAATTAAATGAAATAGTTTGTTTGAGAGGTCGCATTTATATTAGACACATACCCATTTTCCTTCAAAATTGGAGCAGAGCATCCTCTAGAAGCTCATTAAATGCTGCCAAAACTTTATGGAGAACAAATAAGTACTGGTAACATGACAGTACTTTAAACCTTTGTGACTCCAGCCAAGAACTCGAATCTTCTCAAGGTCTCGCCGAACAGCCCCCCAACGGGGTCTTTGATGAGGTAGCCTTGTGCCTGACGGCGCACAGCGCAAAGTGGATATCTGCAGTTGCCATCATGGCCGCACGTGACCAAACAGAAGAGACCGCGGAACTAAGTTCCGCACAGCTCGATCGTCGATGCGACCATGGTTTTGACGGGCCAGCCAAGATTTCAGCTCCAGATTGGAGATGCGGAAATCGACGAACATCACAATCACGGGGTTTTGAGAATGAGCCGGCCCCATGGGTTTGATTGCTATAGGCACTAATATGACCACGAAGAGTTTGGAAGAATCTGATCGTCACCTCGCTGCGTGGCAGTCAACAGATTGCTAGACATGCCCGTGTTGTGCACATGCCGCAAGCACCGTTTACGCGACTTTGAAAGCTGCCGCCATGCCAGATTCTTGTGGGCACCATCGGAAAACGCAAGAACACTAACATAGAGACACTTGGAGCCTCTGATTAAGCATCCACACCCTCCTTCCTCATGTTTGATGGGGCTGATGCCCGCTTGAGTGGTGGTGCTCCCTATGCTGGGCAAGCCATCAATCAGAGATCGGTGCCAAGCAAAGAGTTTTTGATGCATATAACTATTGTGCAACTAGTCTGAGGACACAAGAGACCTATTGGCAATGGCCAATCCCAGACATGCCGGTGCGCCACCGTGGACACTGGTGCGGATTGCCCGCGAACACTGACGGCGATGGGCAGACCTAGCCGCCAGTTGTGCCGATCTTCCTTCATGAAGGGTGTCGATCTCTAGGCTAGAGCCCAAGCAACGAGGGAACCTTACCCTTTTGATACTGCGATGGCCACCAAAAGGGGTATCACTCGTGCGTGGGTCTCGCTGGATCCAGGGCACCATGTTAGGTTGGCTCAGCGAATGTTCAAATATGATGCCCGAGTCGTGTGGTTTTAAAGTACTACCCCGTGCATGAATCTCATTTTCTACTAATGAATTTTTGACAGCATTGGCTAAACACAGGTTGTGTGGTTTGGTCCAATTTTTAAAGAAAAAGATGAAGTCTATGTTACAAATGTGGCCAGTCAACAAATTGTTTCATTTAATTCCGGACGGAGGATGTAGTTGCAAGCTAAAGTAAACAAAAATGTTTAAGTACCTTGACTCTAGGAATTGTAAAGGGGTTATCAAAATTTAGTGATAACTTCCCTACAATATCTGTTGAGAGCAAGATACCCTGGACATGTCCTCCTGGAGCACACAACGATTATTTCAAAAACTCAGGCATTAGTGTGATTGAAAAGATATTATATGAGCCAAGCCAGGTCAAATAAAATAGTTGTATATCAACGGAATTCATGGATGTTTTTTGTAATTTCTGTATGGCAATCAGCTCGAGCAATATCATGCAAAAGTAAGTTCTCCTTTGAATAACACAATAGCTATTAGCCATGACACACAATTGACCCACCAAGTGAAACAATGGACATTGTGTGGTTGCGCATGCAATTGGCATGTTGTTGCATGAGAAGTGGTCGATGTACTAGTACTTCATCAATTTGTTTCATCTATCATCACCCATAGACGTGTATTCTCCATTTTTGATCTTCAAATTAGATAGCGGCAAAGATTTCATCTAAGACCCCGATGTATTATGTGTCTTGTTCGGGTTGTTAATAATAACAACACATTATAGAACATAATAGCTTATTCATCGGGCACATAGCTGGCTCCCCGTGAGGACTAGAATGGATCAGAAGCACTAAAGAATGACCCCCAAAATCTACAGCGAGAACACTCAACGTTCGAGGTCTCGACACGCAGCTCACAGGACTGTGCCAGGGCTAGTCTCAGCATCGACCGTATACTAGAAACGATTTGCACGCATGGCTACTGTCGATCTGGCAGATTACAACATCCTCCGCAGC